CAACTGGTACCTAGCAATTTTTTATTATTGGCTCCAAATACTATACCAGCAAATATGCTTTGGGTCTCCTGAAATCAAGACTACTAAACCAGCTCAGAGGATATAGTTTACTTTTAATTTGTACAAAAAATATAACCCAGAACATCATCTCCCTCAAACCGTCCCCTCTTCTTCATGTCACTTCTCTGTACTAAGACTTCTCCTCGTCACTCTTAATTTCTGAAAAGCACATGTCCTATATCAGTAGGTCTTGTCATTAATTTTATTAGGATTCTTCAAATGTTTACTGAGTTCCCACTCTGGACCCAGCACCATGCTGGGTGCTTTAGGCTCTTCAGGTAGACAAGTTTATGCAGTGAGGAGCTGCCAGTTCTTTTGAGAAATTCTTTATCTCCATTTCCTTCCTATTCTATCACTTCAAGCCTACATTACTGCTATTGCCTACCAGGTGGTCTTTTGCCTCCAATCTAAACCTCTCTAGGCTATCTGACTATTGCTGGAGTAATGTTCATAAGGCACCCTTTGTAATATATCAGTACCTTCCTCAAAAATCTGCAGTGGATTTCCCTATTGTTTACTGTTTAACTTTAAAGATGCCTTGTATCTGGTCTCACTTTAATTGATGCCTTTTTTTTTTTTTTCATTTTTATTTTAAAACTGGGTCTCCTTAAGATGCCCTGGCTGGCCTCAAACTTGCAATCCTCCTGACTCAGCCCCCTGAGAAGCTGGGATTACAGTAGTGCACCAGCATATCCAGATGATAGTTCTTTCTTTTTGTCATAGTTTATATGGCAATCTTTAACTTTCTACTTACCTAGTAAGAGTGAAAATGTTATAACACTGTACATTTGAAGAGTGCTTAATCATTACTTACACATATTCATGTTCACATACAAACTCAATCCAAAAACTATCGCCAAGTCATATCTATTACCAATGACAAATCCATAAACTGTTTTTATTTCAGAATAAGTGTAGTTGTTGTTGAAGAGATTCTTTTTTTCTGATGTCAAAAGTCAATGCACAGGGCTGGGGTTGTGACTCAGTGATAGAGTACTTGCCTGGCACATGTGAAGCACTGGGTTTGATCCTCAGCACCACATAATAATAAATAAATAATGGTATTATGTTCATGTACAACTAAAAAAATTTATAAAAATTTAACACACTGATATAAAGCTAGAATCTAATTCTCTATGTTTAAAAAAAAATGCTTCTAAAGAAATTCAAACTGTATAAATCTAAGACTTTTTCTCCTGTTCCCACCTGAATCTTTCCCAGAGGTACCTGCTATTAATAATTTCTTAGATGTCCTATACATTCTTATTCTCTATCCTTGGTGCCTTTCTCCCATTTTGATAGTTTCCTATAGCAAAAAAAAAAAAAAAAAATAGTATTAAGAATCACTTCAGGGCTGGCACAGCGCTTGCCTAGCATGCAAAAGACCTTGGATTCAATTCCCACCACTGCCAAAAAAAAAAGAGTAACTAGGATTGTAGCTCAGTGGAAGAGCACAAGTTTAGCATGTACGAGGCCTGGGTTCAACCCCTGGTTAAAAAAAAAAAAAAGAAAAAGAAAGAAAGAAAAGAAATAAACAAACAAAACATCTCTGGTGTAATGGCATATACCTGTAATCCCAGAAACTCAGGAGGCTGAGGTCAGCCTCATCAACTTAGTATTCCTAAGCAACTTAGCAAGACCCTGTCTCCAAAAAAAAAAAGAGGGCTGGGGATATGGCTCAGTGGTAAAAGTGCCCCTGAGTTCAATCACTAGTATCCCCCCATCCCAAATCATTTCATTGATTTTAGAGCCGTAGATCTACTGGAGATTGTTTACCTATATTTATATTCTGACTACTACCAAAAATTATTTAAATGACTTAACTGTAAATGTGCAACAGCACTATTAAAGAAGGGAAAAGATGTTTTATCAGCAAAAGATAAGCATACCGGAATTGCAGGGTAATAGTTGTTCAGGATCACCCTTCAGCTATGTGACAGCCAAGTAAAAGGAAAACTCTTGGGAGGGCACAGTGTTTTCACTATTTGGCTGAAAGATATAATCATCTTGGTTCATTTCCAAAGTGGCCATAAATATATCTAAATATTTGAAGAACTCTAAATTGTTGTGATAATTTAGAGAGCAATCTCTTCAATTAGGTCTTTATCTTAGTCCATACATGCTGCTATAATGAATACCACAGACTATGAAATTTAGGCACAACAGAAATTTCTCAGTTTTGACCAGTATGTCCAAATTCCAAAAATCTGACCTAATGAGGGCCATTCTCTGCTTCCAAGATGGTGCCTTGTTGCTGCATCCTCCAGAGGAGTAACACCATGTCTTTATATGACAGAAGGCATGGAAGGGCAAGAGGGTACTCCCTTAGAATGTGGATCCTTTTATATGGGTGCTAATCCCATTCATGAGGGCCCAACCCTCATGACTTAATCCCTTCCCAAAAGCCACACCTCTTAATACTGTTGCACTGTGAATTAGGTTCCAACAAGACTTATGGAAAGGACACCATCATTCAATTTGTCTCACAACAAGAAGGCATCAAAGGTATTCCTAAAGGACAGGATAAATGAATCAATTAATATGTTCCCCTCCTCATAAAGCCACCAGGATTCAATAATGGAGGATTCTATCCTAATGATCTTATCAAAACCTAACCAATTCCCAAAGGCCAAACCTCTAAACACCATAGTTGGATTAGGCTTCCACCCTCCTGATATCTCACATGGGGATAAATTACATGAAGCCTTGGAGGTTACTCAAACCACATCCAAACCATAGCAGTAGATTACAGCAATAGCCTTTAACTGTCCTCTTTGCTTCCACTTTTTATTTTAATAGAAAATTATACATGTACACAAAAGAATAAAAAAAAATAAAACCCAGTGAGCCCATCATCCTTCTCCATTTCTACTCTTGCTCCCTGACATCTAAGTCTCTTAAGAGCAACCAAAATGATCTTGAATTTTTAAATCAAGTGATACTGCTCCTCTTTTCACCCATCTGAATCAGGTTAAAAACTAGCACTTACTCTGAGCAAAATGGTCCTATGTGATCTGGTCTCGATTCTCTACTGTTGTCTTTGTTTATGTCCCTTCAAGGATCTCACTCAATCCAGCCACACTGACTCTCTTGCACATGAAACACAAGAAGCCTGCTCCTGCCTACCCTGGGTTCAATCCCTAGTACCAAAAAAAAAAAGGTTCTGCAGATTCACAAAGACTGAATTCTGCCCTTTAACACAAAACTAAATCTGGCTCTTCAGCCAAGTTTAGCAAATATTTTTCCTCTGCTTTCTTGGACTTCTGATCAGGACTTGCTGAAATACCATCTTTAAATAAGATGAGAAAATAAATATGACACATTGTCCCTGTGTACATTACCTTTATCAGAATTCAAACACTCATCATTTGAATTTAACAAATTCAAAATAGTAAAACAAACACAATCTACACAAACATACACTGCTGTAAAGTCTCATATAAAACAAGTTTACATACTATGTCTATATCTTAGTCAAAACAAAAGAAAAAAGAAAAATTAATTCAGCCAATTTCAGACACACTAGCCCCTCCCCCCAAAAAGACAATGTCAACAAAAGAGTCAAAGAACAAAGCACTTTCTTTGTATAAGGTAATATTTCTTCAGGAAATAGAAAAGATGAGATCTTTGTACTTATGAAAACTTGAATAGGAATGATGCAATAGATAAAAAGTTATAAAATATTAATAACTAAATAGTAACACTTCAAAAGGAAGAAAAGAAAAAATAGTAACAGCATGAGTCTTTAGGACTACACATCAAATATTCTTCCAAATTTATGTCAAAGAGAGAGAGGCTACAACAGTGGCCCCTGTTCAAACACTATAATGTCAAAATCTATCCTTGCTACTAGAAACCGATTGAAGGAGTACAGAGCAGCTATGATCTTAAGCAAGGAACATCCAAAGTCTCTGTGTCCCTTTCATAAAGATAAGCTACATTCAACTGCTTGGGCCTTCTTTGTTTAGAAAATCTCCCTGCATGCTTACTTTTTTGTTACATGTCTCCATAAACAAATTGAGAGAAATTTCTCTCTCTGTATTCCCCAGGAAAATTGGGATTAAGAAATCACTGTGGTCAATAATTTTATCCCAGAAAGATACTAATAAACATCAGGTTCTAACATCTGCCCTACACATATACTTACACTTAGCATTCATTCAGTTATTCCACACAAAGGCCTAGTTATGGACAAACTGTCTACTATGTATCTATCAAATACCAAATAATCAGACCAGTCCAAACTATTTAGATTATTAAAATTTCTCATCTTTGGGATTCTTCAATACAGTATCTTCCAACTGACCCCAATCCCATCATACAACTAAAACTCATAAAACTGACCCATGAATGAATTTTAAGTTTTGAAGTGAAAACTTTTGATGAAAGAGATAAGAGACCCACACTTTTTATTGCCTGACTCCAAACTTCCAATTCTCAAATCAAATTATTTCAATTATTTATTTTATCAATGTATTTTTGGGGATTCTCCTTTGATCTTAAATTAGTAGGTAAGCTTTCTACCTCAAAAACTTATAGCCCACAATACTAAAGTCAAGAATTTCCTTGTATACAACAAATGTCTGCCCTTCTTTATCAATTCTATTAAGTTAGAAATTCTGTGAAACAACAAATTATATTATTATGTGTACTTTTATGAATATGTAACAACAAATCCCATAATTATGTACAAGTATAATGCACCAATATAAAAGTGTGGAAAGAAAAAAAAAGAAAAGGCAAAAGTGAAACTACTTTAAAAAGTAAATCTTAAAAAAAAAAAAAAGTTCACCTTAAGGGGGTAAAAGATGTGCTGGCAGAAGTTAAAACTTTATGATGAAATTATACCTTCACAAATTACTTAATAGAAAGACAAAGGTGGCTTGCGAAGACTGTATTTTTATGAACTATTGATTAAAAAGAAAAATATACCAACTTACCAACAACTAATGCTCCTCTTTCTGCAAAAGCCAGGGCATAAGCTCGGCCCAAACCTGGTTTAAAATAATCAGAAAATGTCAGAATTATTTTGGTCCACTCAACTCAGTCCCCATTTGAAAGTCAGTAATTACAATAGAAGAGTCTTCATTTGCACTCTCAAACTCTAATCCACTCTCATTTGCTTGCAGAGGCTAGAAAGTTTAAAACTACGTTTTACTATACACCTACTTACATTTCCTAACTTGCTACCTAGTGCTAAAATGCCAGATGTGAACTAGATTCCACCATTAGATGCATTTGCACAAAATTTAGAAAATGGAAGTGATAGAGGTCACTTTACTAGAATATGAGCTGTAAGTACTGGTTAAGAAGCTGATTTTCTCTGAACCTTCCTATTTATTAAAATACAGTGACCTGTGGAGGCAACCTACTTAGCCAGCTTCCTAATCCCTGAATGGCAGCGTCCATACTTTAAATCTGAATTTATGTGAGCAGTGACAGAATTCCAATGGCAGACTCAGAACTACTGGCTACTCTAATGTACCAGTTCTATATTGTTCCAAAAGTCATTTTAAGAAAAATCACTAAAACCCAATTGCCTGTATTCAATCCTTCTGTTTAAACTATCTAGCGATTTCTGTATCCTGTACTGAAGCTTGACTACACAATCAAACACACACAAAAAAACTTTAATTCTGATTCAGAGCTAGAAAGTATAGATTTACATATACAGATATGTGTACATATACAGATTTTATAATATGTAAGAATATATGAGAGACTGGCAATTAGTAATTACCATTGAAGAACAGACGGTGGCAGCAACTAGAAGACTTACTTTTACACTAAAATTTTTTAATGTGTTCATGTTCTAAAATTTAAGTTAATAAATTTCACTGATAAATGGAGGAACTGAATTGACAATTTTTATTTGGTATAAATTAACTGATAAATAAGTATACAAATAACAAACTAAGGTGAATAAATTATCACCTTATGATAATGGTTAAATTATCAGGCTTTCCCAAAAAGAAAGAACACAAAATAAAAATTTTATTTTGAACCCAAAACACAAATTTTCCAAAACTAAAAGATATCACCACATAATTTTAGAATTTAGCCAATCTGAATGGATGAGAGAATGCAGCCAATTTATACAGGAGGAGCTAAGCTCATAATTTTCTAGTCACAATTCATTAATGTTTCAAGGTCATTTTTGTGGGATGTAATAAAACAGAATAGAAAATTTCAGAGTGCACAGCATTTTCATGTACTGTGTCATGAACTTGCTTCAAATGGAGATGGGGGAGGGGATCTGATATAGAATGCACTGCTTACTGTCAAGTCACTGCCAAAAGAAATTTAAAATACCCAGTGAATTACATTATTACCTTCAAAAACAAAGAGTAAGCAAAATGGTTTCCCAAAAGCTCATTTCAGAATAAATACAAATGTGAGTATAAAATACTTGGACAACAATTAATAATGAAATTGTTTTCTGAAAGGCAAACTAAGATGTAGTTTATCAATGAAGATGTAAAAGTACATATGAATTAATTGACAATTCCATTGTTTATGGCTTGTAATATGTAATTCAAATAATTCCTTGTTAGGACCCTTTTATTACAAGGCTCTATAAAAGGGAAATCAAGGATGCATAAAGTTATGATCCCTTGCATGTGAAGGTTACAAAGATCACCCACTTGGGGGAAACTAGAGCAAAAATCTTACTGCAGAGGATCAGTGTGTGTGAGAGTGGTTTGTTTTAATTTTTGTTCTTTAAAAATTGTTTGGGTTTTTTCACATAACATTTCTTCGGTTTGCTTCTCCTGAAATATATGAGGATCTGGCAAATTTCCTAAGGGATGGTCCACTTCAGAAATGTCTCTGCTCTTCCTTTCTTCACTCTTCCTGTCCCATTCCCACTTTATTCCTCTATCATTTACCTCGACCCTGCACGCACTGGCGTTTACAACTTTTCCAGGATTCCACTGGACTTTGAAAACACGGCCTGGCTTGATAAGCATACAATACAAACTCCAAGGAGGGCTCTTATCAGATGGATGTCCTCTTTATAGGCCCTCTCCAGAACTTAAAAAACATCAGACATTAGAAAATAAACACTAAATAACTGCCTTGTCAAAGTCAAGAAGCTGGCATCTCCACTCCTTAGATGGGACCTCCAGGCCTGAGGCGGCTTTTCAGGCCTTAAGAGATCGGAGCAAGGCCTAACAAGAGTCCCCCCCACACCAAGAGTCATAATCAACACCCACAGAGCCAAGAACTTTCACCCAGTTGTGCAACCCGCCGCCCAGCCGGGTTTGGGAAGCTGCCCGTGGGTGCTGGGGAAAGTAGGCTGCACCTGCCTGAGTGACTCCCGTCTCAAGGCCGATCCCCCCACTCGCGGGCGCTCCCCTTCAGATTCAGTGCCTTTAAACTGCGGTTCCTCCCACCACCGCCGCCACCCGGTCAAGCCCACGCTCTGCCATCCGCTTCACCATCCCCGCCCACAGTCCCGACGCCTGAACCTGGACTGCGACCGCACACATATCCCTTACCCAAACCGGAGGGTCCGCGGCGTGAGGGGGACACGCGCCGGCCGTACAATCTTCCAGGCTCACCTCCTCCCGCGCCGGTGACCAGTACCACACGCCCGTCGAACCTGAGCGGCGAAGTCATGACTCCTGCCTTCAACCTCACACACACTAGCAGTGTCGCTGGGCTCAATCAGCCAGGCTCAATTAGCTGGGGGAGTGGCGGGGGCAGGATGCGAGCAGGCGACCTGCCGGTCTCTGGGAAGAAAACAGGCACTGTAGTTTCCCAAGTGCGCCTGCGCAAGCTAGCGTTCCCAAGTACGCCTGCGTGGCGAAAGCATGGCCCCTTGGGAAATGTAGTCCAGTGTGACTGCTTGCTGGAAGACCCTGCCCAAAAGACTTGGTTTAAGGTTAAAAAAAAAAAAAAAAAAAAGCAGCCCGTTTTGGGGCTGGGGATGTGGCTCAAGCGATAGCGGGCTCGCTTTGCAAGTATGCGGCCCGGCTTCGATCCTCAGCACCACAAACAAATAAAGATGTTGTGTCCGCCGAAAACTAATAAATAAATAAATAAATAAATATTAAAAAAATACTCTCTCTCACTCTCTCTTAAAAAAAAAAAAAAAAAAGAATGGAGTTTTCAAAAGTTGTGTGGCAGCCCTCTATATACATCCCCTATCATTTCGTCATTCTCTCAACAAACGTTTTCCAGGTTTAGGAACCGGCCTAGAAAAATATCGCGGTGCACCTATCCTTAAGGGGCTTTCAGATATAGACTTTAAGTAAGAAAGTTACCCTTAGCCGTGGTAAAGATTTCTCAATATAATACCTGGATCTCTTGCATAAAAATCATCCAGGAACTTTCAAAAGGCAAAGTCCTAGATTCCCACCACTGACTTCCAGAAATAGAATCACAGGGACAAAAAAAAAAAAAAGTAAGCAAGTGCTCTTAAATGAATTTTGTTCCTCCCTCACACTGGGGGCTCTCTCTCTCTCTCTCTCTCTCTCTCTCTCTCTCTCTCTCTCACACACACACACACACACACACACACACACACACACGCGCCCTCCAGGGAATATATGCGCGGCACAGTTACGGTGATATAGTGTCATTCATTCATTCAACATTTGTTGAGCATATACTAAGGATTTAAGTTACAGCTGAGTAATAAAAATTCTTGAAGCTTTTCAAAGGTGATAAACTTTCAATATGGTGCAACCTATTAAGACTTGTGACAAATGGGTGGAAGTATGCTAATTGATTATGCCAAAATAAACTAACCCTGTCCAGGCTAGAGAAAAGGAGGGAATAATTCCAAAGAATGTGAAGTAGAATTGACTAAAAAAGAAGAAGGGCATTATAGACAAGAGCAGATAAAAGTCACCTTTGAACAGGAAAAGGGTGAAACTACAAAACTAAGCAGAGCCATTCAATTCATGCTTAAATATCTGAACTATGTGCAAAAAACAATTGCTTTTTTAAATTTTTTTTTAGTTGTAGATGGACACAATACCTTTATTTTGTTTACTTATTTTTTTATGTGGTGCTGAGACTCAAACCCAGCGTCTCACACATGCTAGGCTAGTGCTCTACTATTGAGCCACAACCTCAGACCCAGAAAACAGTATTGAACAGTATTCCTCCACAGGTGGTAGGCAGAACACATATCATGGAAAGATCACTTGGCTGCTTTATGGAGAGTTAATTATAGGTGGATAATAAGAATATATTAAAAATGTGGGGGACATTATGGAGGCCAGGAGAGGAAATGTGGGAGAGAAAATGAACATTTGGAAATGGACTTAATAGGTATTTGTGATTAACTGGATGTGGATGTGAGGAAGGAGCAACTAAAATAACACCATATTTCTGGCTCAAGCACCTAGGTTATAGGGGGCCACTTATCAAACTGGAAATATTGTGGATAGAGCAACTTATGGCTTCGATTTCAGCAAAACTGTGCTTAGGAAGAGGAAGTAAAGCCTACAGCTACAGAAGTCTACCAGGCAACTGTGGTTGTAAGCTCTGTAAATTTGATTTCAGTGCTCCAGCAGAACAAAAAAAGTCTCTCTGTGACCCAAGCCTAAATCTCCAGAGTGCACATCTTTTCACTACCAGCTGGACCCTAAACAAGCTTTGTTCTCTTAGCCATTTGCCCACATCTGCTTTACACTGGTTTGACCCTTGAATTCTGGTACACTTGGAAACCCAAGGAGACAAGCTCCTAGAACACTGCATTCAAAGATAAGAAAGAGAATTAGGGAGATAGGTTAGAGCAGCATGCCTGGCAAGCTGGAAACTCTGGAGCAAGGCCCAGTACAGAGTTGGTGAAGGGGGGTGGAGGGAGGGAGCACTTGAGAGATATTAGCTAGGTAACAGCCAAATTGTACAAATAGGCACATAGGCCAGCTTCAGTTGGCATGAAAAGGAAGTTCTCTCACCTTTAACCCTTACATATAAAGCAGGAACCTGGCACACTATAACCCCTGCTATTCAGAAGGTTGAGATAAAAGAATCGAAAATTGCACGACAGCCTGGGCAAATTAGGAGACCCTGTCTCAAGATAAAAATGGCTGAGGATGCAGTTCAGTGATAGAGTGCTTGCCTAGCATGCTTGAGGCCATGGGTTCATCCTAATACCCGAAAAAGAAAGAAGATGAGGGAAGGAAGAAGAGGTACAGCATGGCCAGGACTTTCAACCAGTGGGACACAATGCCTAGAAGCGAATCCTGCTTCTGGGTCCTAAACCCACTCTTCTCACACCCACCCACCCTCTACCCTTCAAAAGCAGGTCTACATGTGCAACTCTCCTTGATTGAGACCAATGATAAATTCCTTTGCTAAAGGGACACGTGGGAATCTAAAGTTCAAGGGTAAACCTTTGCAACAACTCAGTAACTTTTGATCTCTGCACCCCTGATCCCTGCAAGGGGGAAGCCACCACAGCTTTATGAACTGAGCAGCCAAACTTGTTCAATATAACTCCAAGGAGAACCCTGCAAACTTATGCACTGACCTCTTTGCCTAGCTTCACAGTAGAGCAAACTCGCAGATCACCTTTGTGGAGTATTTGTTTCAATCTTATATGGTAATATTTCTTGTTTAATCAAATAATCCTGTTAGTCTGGTTTTTAAAAAAATCAAAGTTCAGGGGTCGGGGTTGTGGCTCAGTGGTGGAACACTTCCCTAGCATGTGTGAGGCACTGGGTTCGATTCTCAGCACCGCATATAAATAAATGAATAAAATAAAGTCTATCAACAACTAAAAACAAATATTTTTTAAAAAATCAAAGTTCATTATTCCTACTTCTAGAAATCAAACTGCAAAATCAAGTCAGTTGTAACTTAAGAGAAAGAGCATTCAGCCACAAGCCTACAACCTAAGTAAGAATTCAGCCTCTCTCAGCCATTGTTAAAGAGCCAATATTCCAATTTCGAGTCTCAGAACTCAGTTTTGGCTAGTACTGATGACAGCTAACGGGAATAGGAAAGTTCAAGTGACAAGTAAAATAAGTGTCCATATGACTGGAATGGGAATGAGAGGCAATAAGTATAGAGGAATTACAGTCATCGAAGTAAAATGAGGTACATAATTTAACACACTACAAAAGAGTGTTTTGCTATATAGGTGCAGCTTATTTTCTCTAATGGTCTCATCTTGCTTTCAAGTCCTATTTTTATGGGAAGGGGAAGATGAAAACAGAGACATAAACTGATCAATTAAAAGCAACATGAACTGGGTTCAGTTGTGCACACTTATCTCAGCAACTTGGAAGGCTAAGTGTCATGAACACTATGTCAATAACATAAACCAGACATGTTTGTGTCTTTCCACGATGTCAGAATTTATTAGTAATAAATTCACAGTCTACACCACTTTCATCAGTGACAGTTCACTGAATACTATGGGTCACCTGGTAGTCACAAGCCAGGTAATCACAAGTGCTTTTATTCCAGTCTTAATTTCTAATATATAACTCTCAAGTCACATATCACATGCTATATAATTTATATATATATATATATATATATATATATATATATATATATACCTAATATATAACTCTCAAGTCACATATCACATGCTATACAATATATATATATATGACAGAAAAGCTAAGAAAGGGTAAAGGCAGCCACAGAAGTTCAGGAGGGTGAACTAAGAGAAAAGACAGAAAGCAGATATGAATGCCAAGAGTCACTCTAGGTAGTCAAATAAGATTACTAACCAGCCAAAGAATTTGTTCAAAGTGCAGAGTTGTCAAAGTGCAGAAACTTATTCTAGGCCAAGGTCTGGTGGGTCAGCAGTTTCTCAGTGTGAGCGTGAAGCGTCTCACTGAGATGTCAGCTTAGAGTAGGATTTACATGGTCCTCACAGACAGGAGAAACCACGATCTGCTAAATCTCAAGGATACAGATTAGGAGGTTCATCACTATGGCAATTTTCCTGGGCAAGGCTCATAAAGAGGTGACAGGGTCAAGGCGTCATCAAGTCCACTCTAGGGTGCTCCTCATTTTATGGGTTTCCAATTAGGGCATTGAATTATACAATGTTCTGGTGTGTTTGGTAAGCCTGTGGCCTGCTTTTTCCAGTATGAGTTTGATACTCCCATGCATCCATGTGCTTCTGATTAATTCAATAAGTTCACAGGTGGTCATTTTTATTAGCATGATTAATTCATTTATTAGTTTGTGCCTTATGGTTGTGACAGGTAGATGGTAGTTGTTCACTTGTGCAAACAAGATGTAAAGTTATTTCACTTCAGCACTTAAACTCAAAATGAAATAGCTTATGGAAAACTCCTGCTTTACAAAATGGTTTAGGCACAGACTGAAAACTCCCCATCTACACATCAAAGAGTAACTCAGAGCAGAGCACAGCCTGCTGTCCACACTGAGGCAGGAGGATCGCAAATTCAGGGCCAGTCTCAGCAATTTAGGGAAATCCTCTCTCAAAATAAAAAATAAAAAGGGCTGGGGATGTAGCTCCATGATAGAGGACCTCTGGGTTCAATTCTGGGTACCACACACACTCACAAAAAAAAAAAAAAAAAAAGCAACTTGATCTGGTCTGTTTGAAGTAAATTTCTTTCAGGAAATTTCTGTCTTCCCTTTTCCTCTAGCCTAAATGTTAACTTAACATAGAGGAAAGTTTTGTCCCGATGGGGATATTCCTTAAGGTCATGCTGGCCTTTGCTTCTGCATCCAGTTACTGATAAAACTTGTAGTTTATTACTTTAGAATGACTGAGAGATCTCTGGTGTCCTCAACCCACCTACCCTCTGCCCCAACTCAAATCTAGGTAGCCTTGAAATCATATTAGCTATTCCTAAAATTTG